TCATTTAGGGAGGGGTCAGAAATACAAATAACTCAGATGGTAATACAACTGTTAATAAGTCAAGATGTTCATATTCGAAGACTGAGAATGCTGCCAATGAAGTTCAGAACTCTACAATGGGCACAAGAGCTACAGATTCTGCCAGGGTTACAAAGTTCTCTAGAGAGCTCTTAGGACAAACGGTCATTTTAGGTACCATATATACTTTGTTGCTTCGAGAATGATTTCAGAATATATATATATGGTCGTAGTGTTGATTTGATTAGTATGTCTCTTTTGCAGAGAGATTACGTGAGTTATCTTGGAGTGGTGTTCCACCTTACATGCGTCCTAATGTATGGAGACTTCTGTTGGTAAGCTCAGAACTATCAGTTTTAGGCATTAGGTGGACTTGAAATCTATGAATCAATTCATTATTCTTCTTTTCTTTAAATGCTGTGTTTTTTTATTTAATGTGAAGTAATAATTTTTTATTTTATGTAAAGTAATGATTTTTTGTTATTTGCTGCCACATTTAATATGTTATAGCTGCTGCATTCCTAGTCTAATGATTTGTTTCCACCTAATGGTGCCATGGTACTATGCTCTGTGTTTAGCATCAATATATCTTTTTTAGGAGTTATTTATTATTTGGTTTTAGTTTGTTCCAAATGCAATTTCCTAAGGAGGTTGAACTTATCTTTGATTTTTTTGGCTTTTTATTCCAATTAATGGAACCAATGAAGCCATTTTTTAGATGAAAAAAATCTGCATGTCTCATATTTAATATCCTTGGTTAACTAATTTTCTATCAGATGGATATAGATTGTCTTTATGAAATAAATTTGGTTACTCATTTGAAATTGTATGAACTAACAACAGGGATATGCGCCATCTAATTCAGATAGAAGGGAGGGAGCTCTAAGGAGGAAACGTATTGAGTATCTTGATTGTGTTGCTCAATTTTATGACATTCCTGATACTGAACGGTCAGCTGATGAAATTAGTATGCTTCGTCAGGTACCTTTATCCCTGATTTAATTCTCAAATTTGATTGTTAGCCTTCTCTGTCTGATTTAACATTGTTTATTCTGTTTGTTAGATTGCTGTTGATTGTCCTAGGACAGTACCTGATATTGCTTTCTTTCAGCAAGCTCAAGTTCAAAAATCCTTGGCCCGCATTCTTTATACATGGTAAGATTCTATTTGAGTTGGTTAATTCACATTTATTGATGGCTTTCTTATGCAAAACTCAATATTTTTTTAAAAAAAATGTAGAACATCGGTTTTTAATAATGAAATGCTTGATTATATAAACCTGTTCAACCGCTAAAAGACCGAGCTGGATGGTAAAATACTGGTTTTCCATTTATTTTTAATTTATGAGATATGTACTTTTATTCTTGTAGTTTATAATAAGATGTTAATATTAATCTGAATGATTTTTTTTTGTTAGTGATTAACTGATTTTATAGTTTATTTTACATTAAATTAAGTTTTTAAAGAGTCTAAACATTAAAAACTCGAGAAAACAATGAATTGCCTGGTTGGACAACAGGACGAGTTGAACTGGGAACAGAGATATGGCCGATTCAGCCTCTGGTCTATTTTTTTAATATAATTTACGTTTTCTTAAAAGCAACTTTTGAGATACTGGTGATGTTTTAGGGGTAACTGATGCTGCTCTTCAACTTCATGTTCAGGGCCATTCGACATCCTGCAAGTGGATATGTGCAGGGTATAAATGATCTTGTAACACCCTTTCTAGTTGTCTTCTTATCTGAGTACTTAGAAGGGAGCATAGATAGTTGGTCAGTGTCTGCTATACCTTCTGAAAAGATATCCGAGCTAGAAGCTGATTGCTATTGGTGCTTATCAAAGTTGCTTGATGGCATGCAAGATCATTACACATTTGCTCAACCGGGAATTCAGAGGCTTGTATTTAAGCTGAAGGAATTGGTTAGGCGCATTGATGGTAAGCCCTATAGAGGCCTTTCAGTTCTCTCCCTAAAATTGCTCTTTTTATGAGTAAACTCTATAGGCGTATTGATGGTAAACTCTGTGCGAGTACTTTTTTTTTTAGGGTTGTGATGGAAAGAAAGATGTTATGTCCCTATGTATTATTCCTCCATATAATGTGCTTGCAATTTCCTTTATTGACATGAATTTTTGTTTATGTTTTCATGTTCTAATTTCATCTCTGTCTTATTGATTTCTTTGTTCTTTAACCTGTACCAGAACCTGTTTCTAGACATATGGAGGAACAAGGACTTGAATATCTTCAATTTGCTTTTCGCTGGTTCAACTGTTTGCTTATACGAGAGGTAAGGTTTCAACTTGCTACCCATATTCATTGGTTTATCCCGCATTTCAAATATTTTTTATTTTTGATTTACAAAATGCTCGAACTTCTATTTATTTATTTTGATTGTTTAATAGATCCCTTTTCATCTGGTAACCCGTCTATGGGACACGTATCTTGCTGAAGGAGATGCACTGCCAGATTTCCTCGTCTACATATTTGCCAGTTTTCTTCTAACTGTGAGCACTCTAGCTTCCTTTGTGCTGATCGATTTTACTAGCTTTCATCTCTGACTGCTTGTTTGCAACCTTAAGGAGATGTAGCTTTGGTAATTGTTCAATTAAAGAGATGTTTGTCTTTGTGTGTGTTCTTTCTTTTCCTTATCTAAAAGAGAAATAATCTCCATTTCTTATGTCAAAAAGATAATGATTGCTTATGTTCTCCTACTCTTTAATTTTTCTTAAAGTACCAATGTTCAACACGTCAAATATATCTGATGCATATCTAGACATGGGTACGAGTATGTCCAAAGACCTTCGAAATATATGAAAACAACAGAGAAAAAAATGAACATATCCATATCAGACACACACCCTAGACTGAGTAACATAGATGATGAAAAGGGGTAGGATGTTGGATCGAGGACATGAACCTAAAAACGAGCATCTCTTAGAGCTTACTTCATATGCCTTAGAGCTTGCACTCTCATGAATTTATAACATTCAGATTTATCAATGCTTGTTTTCCTAGATTGCTAAGTTAGCCTGTTCATTTGCATCTTTTATGTTAAGGTGTAATGTCCAACTTTGAACTTTTCTCAGAAAGAACAACACTTTGCAACTTTTCCATTTCCTCGTGAAATTTGTTAATGAGCTTTTATGTTACTTGAACTTGGGTGTAGTGTCAGATACGTCCAACACTGGTATGTTCCTTGGTGTGTCATATCCCATTACCCATATCCTAACATGTGTTAGGCATGTACTTCCAGCAAAATGAAGAGCCCCATCAACATAGATGAGCTCTACTTTGTGATTTCTAATCCCTTAGCATTCAACCGCAGTTCTTTTTGTTTTAATGATACTTCGATACTGGACACCTCCTGAAGCAATTTTTTTCATCTTGATTGTTCATGATCATTACAAAACTGGCAAAGCACTAATTGATGAATGCTTTGTTCTGTATGTTTCAGTGGTCAGATGAACTTCTGAAGCTTGACTTCCAGGAGATGGTGATGTTCCTTCAACGCCTTCCAACTCAAAACTGGACATATCAAGAGCTTGAAACAGTACTTTCTAGGGCATACGTATGGCACAGTATGTTTAACAAGTCTCCCAGCCACTTAGCTAGTTGAACTTAAATTTTGTGTTATTTATCCGATTTCTCTCCCTTTTAAATTCTCATTGTTTGTTGGTCAAAGTGATTCAGAGAGCAATGTACATGTACTTTTGTTTGTGTTCAAGTAGAGGTCAAGTGTTCCTCCTCGTATTGCAACACCCGGACTTGGGGTTGTTGGAATTAGCATGTGTATATGTCCGACACCGATATATACATGTTTTTCTAGTTTTTTTCCCATTTATTTGACGGGTTCGTATTGAACACAGTTGACGGACAGAAATAACTTTAGGGAAAATTATGAGTCTAGCAACATAGGGTTCACGTAAATGGCATATGTTTGTAATACACATCAACCTTTGAAAGTAAGAACATATTTCCTTGCATTCCAAGTTTTGCATTCTATTAACAGATGTTAAAGAGAATAGTGTTTGTCTATTTGGATTATAGCTAGAAAAACAGTCTATAAATGTATCAAATGACCATTGAAAAGTTGCATAAAAGGAACTCATAAGCTTCAATTATATATATATATAACAAGAACTGTTAAAAATGCTCTAATCAACTCCCTTGTAGAGTATTAGGTTTCAAGCCATCTTATTGTTTTTCATCCATTTTATCCATTTCCCACAGGTGAATCATGTCTGGTTTGTACCATGAAATCTTGACACCATTTCAGCTAAAATCCCATAATTGAAAAGCAATATGAAAATTTATTATTATGCTTTAATTTTAAAGGAAGAAAAGATTCTAGGCTAGATTTGTTGTGTTATAGATATTTTATGATGAAACGAACATTATTTAGAATATAGAAAAAAAATGAATGGGTCTAATAGTTAACGGTTAAAATGAATTGTAAATTTTGGGTCTAATAGTTAACGGTGACGACGATTGATGCCTTTAGATGGTGACAAAAAACAATGGTGGTGAGTGATGGTAGCGATAGAAAACTTGGTTGAATTTAAGAATTTAAATGATATTTTATTTAAAATTTAGGGTTAAAATTATATTTTATCTAAAATTTAGTGTTAAATTAATATTTTATGAAAATTTAGTGATAAAATTAAAAATTAATATCGTAATTAACAATTCAACGACTAAAATATAACGATCAATAACGTAAATGAATTATCGTGGTTGATGACGGAGTTTTGGGAAGATTATTGGACTGATGTCCCTTCACTAAAAATTTCTTTCTCAAGTATATTCAACATTGTTGTTCGGAAGAGGGAAAGTAAAAGATTTTGGATGCGTGGTTAATGGAGAATCGAACTCAGAAGAAATCTTTTTGAATGAGAAATTAGCGTTTCGAACGATTTCTTGACGAAGATAAATAGTGTTGTTTACAATGGCTTGAAACACTGTCTAAGATGGATTGGGTCGTCCGATGGGGAGCATTCGCCCAAAAATTTTTGTTCCACTACTTCATGTGGGGACTCCACAGAGGATCGCCCTTTCCCAACAAGCCTTCCCCGGAGTCCTCCCTTATCAGCTGGTTACCGCCGCCGCCCACCTCCACCAGGACCTCACTTCTCTCCACCCTCACCCTCTCATTCTCCGCTGGGTCCCCGATCCTCCCTCCCGCTCCCAAGTCGACATTGTTTTCCGATTCGTGACTCGCCACCGTGAAAATAACCGGAGCTACGGAGAACCGATTGTCCTCGGCTCCCCTAAGTTCAATGAATGGGCTCATGTGTTGTTTACCGATGCCTTTGTGGGAAACGCCGGAAAGGCAGTGATGAAGCAAGTGCCGGTAGGTGTTTTAGGTATAGCGGGGATTGGCGCGGCGACGAGGACGGGGAAAGATGTTGTGGGGCGGCGAGGACGGGGAAAGAGATTGTTGAGGCTGCGATTTGTGTGTCGCGCTTGGTGTCGCCGCTTCAGTTTACCTTAGCTTGTCTTGTTAGTTGTAATTAGGGGTGCACAAAAAATCTGAATATCCGAATATCCGAAAAAAATATCCGAAACCGGTTTTGGGAAAAACTGGTTTTTTTTTAACCGGATCGGATTTTTTTAAACCGGTTATTTTAACCGGTTTGGAGAAAAAAACCTAGACCGGTTTTTTTTACCGGATAAAAAACCGGTTTGAAAAAAACCGGTTAAAAAACCGGTTTTTATCCGAAAAAAAACCGGTCTGGGTTTAAAAAACTAGCCGTTAATATAGCCGTTTGTGACCGTTTTTGACCGTTTTTTTCTTTAAAAAATTACCATTTTACCACCCTAAACATGTATAAATAGGTTGGGGATGTATTTGGTTGATTACAACTTTCTCAAATCTTATTACACAATACTTAAACATCTCTCAAATCTTAGTTTTGTAATTTTTTATTCATCATGAGTAACACTGCTGAATCTTCCGTCGGGGGAAACCTTGAAGTCGTGAGAGTGATCGAACACACTCGAAACAAAGATATTTGGGATCACTACGATTTATGTGAGATGTCAATGGCTCGAGGAGCGCGTTGTAAACTTTGTCTAAAGTTTCTTGCATCGGAAGGAAACACAACGTTGAAGAACCATTTGACAAAATCATGCAAGGCACTTCGCTCAAGATCGGATCCTAGTCAATCGAATCTTACACCGCAAGGTGGTGTTTTTGTTTACGACAACGAAAAATTACGAGAAGCGTTTACAAAGTTCGTGATTACAAAAGCATTGTCGTTCGACCACTTTGATGATGAAGATTTCACGACAACAATTCAACAACTAATGCAACCACGTTATACTCAAGTAAGTCGTACTACCCTTAGAAGAGATGCTATAAAAATGTGGCGTACGGCGAGGGAAAAAATGATTTTAGGATTCCAAGAACACCGTTATGGTGTGTCGCTTACATGTGACGTTTGGAGTTCCCCTCATAATACCGGAAATTCTTTTTTAGCCGTTACGTCACATTGGTTAGATCAAGATAATTGGCAAATGATGAAAAGAACAATCGCGTTTGAATTATTCGGTGAGCCGCATACCGGTGCTAATTTATTTACACTTTTAAAAGGGTAATTTGTCTTTATAAATTAGAAAATAAAGTTTTTTCTATATCTTTTGATAATGCATCGAATAATACAAACGCGATTCCAAGATTGAAAATATTACTTTCACCGATTTTAGACGGTGCGTTTTTTCATACCCGTTGCGTTGCACACATAATTAATTTATCCGTGCAAGCCGGTTTGGAGGTTATTGAGCCAATTAGATTAGAATTTAAAACAATGATAAAATCGATTCTTTGTAACAACAACAAAAGACTAAATGATTATAAACGATTTTGTAAGTCTGTTAATAAAAAAGCTTTGGGTCCTAATTTGGATTGTCCAACTCGTGGAACTCAACTTGGATGATGATGCATACTGCCTTAAGGCAAAGGGAAACATTGCAAACATTTCACGATCGGCTTTTCGAGAGGGGTCATGTCCCAGACATTTATCCGGATTCGAGTTGGGAAACTATAGCCAAAATAACCGATTTGCTTGAGGTTTTTAAAAATGCAACAACTTTTTTATCCGGTGTTTATTACCCTACTAGCCCGTTGGTTCTTAATCAAATATTTTTGTTGGCTACCCGACTAAATGACTTTGAATTTGAAACCGAAGTTTTTCAAGAAATTGGCTTTGCAATGAAGGAAAAACTTTTAAAATATTTTAAGGAGATTCCCCCTATTTTTACTTGTGCCGCCGCTTTAAACCCAACGTTAAATGTTGGTGGGGTTGAAACACTAATTGAACAAATTGCGTTTGCTTTTAATCTAACCGATGATGAACCCAACTTTGTCCAAAACCAAATAAATTATTTTAACAAATGTTTTCGAGACATGTTTGCAATTTATTTAAATAAATACGGATCAAGTAGTGTAATACACGATCAAATGAGAATGAATGCGGAATCATCTAGTAGACGTCCAAGTAACATAAATTTGAATCTTTTTAACACTCTTGTAAATTCCCAATCCAAACGATCACGTACTACCACCCCAAGTAGCGAGTTGGGAAATTATATGTCATGCGATTTTCTATCAAAAATGACATTTGAAGAGTTTGAAAGTTTGGATATTTTGGCTTGGTGGAAAGAAAAGGAATCACAATTTCCGATTCTAGCCGCCATGGCCCGTGATTTACTAACCGTCCAAGCTTCTACGGTAGCTTCGGAATCCGCTTTTTCTGTTAGTGGCAGGGTTATATCGCAACGGAGATCAAGACTAAGTCCCGAGTCGGTGGAAGTATGCATTTGTTTAAAGGATTATTTGGATGGAGCGGCTCGTAAGCAACATATCACCACCCTAGAAGATGCAATTGATGCCGATTTGGAAGCAAACTTACACATTGAAGAAGTCGAACTTGGAATATCCCCTCCAAACGAAGAAGGCGAAGATGATGAAGAAGAGATGGCAATGTAGTTTATTTTATAACTTTATTTCAATTATCGTAAACTTTGTTTCAATTATCGAACTTGAAGTTTTTAAGTATTTGAATTTATCGAACTTGGAAGTTTTTAAGTATTTGAATTTATCAAACTTGGAAGTATTTAAGTATTTCAATTATGTTGAGTTAATTAAGTATTTCAATTAAGTATTTGAATTTATTGAACTTGAGGTTTGATGCTTTCTCTTTGATTCTCTCTTGATTCTAGTTGCTTGATGTTTCTTGTCTTTGATCAATGACTTCTAAGCTTGCTTAAATACACCTTGAATCACTTCTGAACGTTAGTGATAATTAATGAAGATAATATAGCCGTTTAAGTGTGAACATTTAATAAAAATGCTTAGAGCGTGGGGGAATTGGTACCCTCTCATAGGGAATCGGTTCCCTAAGTGTAAAATTCAAATATTTCGACCGTTGAATAGGGGGGAATCGGTACCCCTATGGGGGAATCGGTTCCCTCCGAGCATTCTGGAAATCTCGGAGCCAAACCATTCAGTGAGGAATCGGTACCCCCTTGGGGGGAATCGGTTCCCTATGAGCAATCTGGAATATTAAAATCGGTTTTTTATAACCGGTTTTTTAAAAAAACCGGTTTTTTTAAAACCGAAACCGGTTACACCGGTTAGGATATCCGGCCCTCCAAACCGGTTAGAAACCGAACCGGTTATTTTATAAACCGGTTTTTTTTCTATGGGAAAAAACCGGATCGGATAAAAACCGATCCGGATCGGATTGAAATCCGAATTATGTGCAACCCTAGTTGTAATTGGCTTCTCGCGAATAATAAAATATGTAAATACTGATTAAGGAAACAATAAAAAAAAACCCCTATTAGATGTTTAGTTTGTGGAATTTTGCTAATTTTTTAATTTTCTCTTTATATATATTTTAAAATATATGGCAATTTGAATTGGTAAAACAAACTATGCACAAATATTATTCATTTTAGAAATTAAAAAAAATATTTAATATACTAGAATTTAAATAGACAGCTATTATTTAATTTAATTTATTTTTATTATTAACTAAATATAAATTATAAAAGATTTTCAAAAACCCCAAAAGCATCAATGCAACTTAAATAAAATTATTTTTTTAATAATCACAAAAGTAAACAAATAAATGTAAATCGCAACTTAACCTTTACAAGCAACATTTTAACGCAAAAAGTTTCAAGTCATCGTATAATATTATGATAAGGAACGAACATAAAGTAAAATTTTATATTTGGAGGTCGAATTTGAAGTTATAAAATGTTATAGAGGCAGAGTTTGAATTCATAAAATTTCAAGAGATGAAAATAAATTTTTAATAGAAAATACATTAATAAATCTAAAATATATGATAATTTTAAACCTTTAAGAATCTACTATCTCCATTCACCTCTCTCAATCCATCTTTAATTTTGATACGATACATATAGACCTGGCAAACTTGATTCGAACCGATATTAACTCGAATATTATAATTAAATTTGATCCGAGACCCAACTCATACCCGATCCAAAATTTAGCGAAACCGAAATTAACCCAAACCGAATTAATCTGAACCGAAAGCAACCAGAACCGAAACAAACTCAAACCAAATTTTAACCTAATCGAAAACAACCCGAATCGAATTTAACCCCACTCGAAAGCAACACAAACATATTGAAATTGATAAAAGTTATTAAACGATAAAAGATATTTTGAATAATAAATTAATTTAAATAAAATTGATAATTTATTAAAAATATTATATTTATTATAAAAATAATAGAAAGTTTAAGATGAATATAAAAGTAATAATCTAATTGTAAGATTGAAAACAATAATAAATAAAATTTAATTATCTTACTTGTTATAAAAATATTAGATTTATAATAAAAATAATAGAAAACAACTAAAAGAAAGGAAATAATATTAGATTTATAATAAAAATAGTATAAAGTTTACTTATGTAACTATTAAAACTTAACAAATAAAGTTATGTATTATTTTTTAAAATTTAATAAAAATATTAAATTTATAATTAGAAATAAAAATTTTTAATAAAAAAATTATTTCTTTATCAAATAGATCTCGTTATAAACGTTTCATACGAGATCAACATAAAATTTTGATAACAAATTATAACACATATTATAGGATCGTATTTGTGTCAAATTATCAATTTATCAACTCTAAATGCTGGTTTAATTCAAAATATTAAACGATTAAGAATTGAAATTAAACATAAATGATAAAATTAACAAATAAGAAAACATAAGACATATTTTTACAAGTGTATATATCAATCATTCTATATATACTTGATTTTAATTAGACTCATAAACAATTTAACCCAAATTGACATGATCTAAAGGTTGACCTAAACCGAAAATCAACCAATCCGATATTGATCTGACCTGAAATCTAACTGTAAACACCATTTTTCAACACCAACACTTACCACCCCATTTTTCAACACCAACACCCACCATCCTATTTTTTTCAACATC